TGGTTGAAAGATTATGACACAAGTTGCTTCTCAGCCATAACCGAAAATATCACCTACGAAGAAGCCATGAAAAGTGATAGTGCGCGTTTGTGGACCCAAGCTATCGAAAATGAGCTAAGTGTGCTGCAGAAAAATAATACGTGGACTGAGGTACCTAGGCCTGAAAACAAGAAAGTGATAGACAGTAAGTGGGTGTTAAAAATCAAAAATGATGGGCAATTTAAAGCGCGATTGGTTGCCAGAGGATTCCACCAGAAATGTGATGGTACTTTTTATGATATTTATGCCCCCGTTGCAAAAGTGAGTACATTTAGAATCTTTGTGGTAGTAGCAAATAAATTAGGTTTGCCAATATTTCAAATGGATGTACAGGGAGCATTTTTATATGGAGATATCAATGATGAGGTATTTATGTCATTACCTAACTCCAAAAATAATAGTCAAACTGTTTGCAAACTCAATAAATCAATTTACGGTCTCAAAAAGTCTCCCAAGTGCTGGAATAGCAAGTTTGATAATTTAATGAAAAATTTGGGATTCAATAGATCACAAAATGATTTTTGCCTGTATATTAAAAGTAGTGATTATTCAAATTTATATGTTTTGTTATGTGGATGACCTATTGATTCTGGGATCAAATGTGGATCAAGTGAAAATCTTAAAAAAGAATTGAACAAAAATTTTGAAATGAAAGATTTGGGCATTGTAAATAATTATTTGGGAATTCACATATACCAAAATTTAGAAAAGGGTTTTACTGTACTAGATCAAACTGATTATTTGCTTAAAGTTCTTGAAAGGTTTGGAATGTCAAACTGTAAAGCAGTGAGCACACCATTGGATGCAAACTTCAATTTCAATATTCTGAAAAATAATAAAGGAGATGAAAAATATATAAAACTATGTAGGCAAATAATCGGAAGTCTTATGTATGCAATTTTGGGTACAAGGCCTGATTTGTCTTTCAGTGTATCAGCTCTAAGTCGTTTCTTAGAAACCGCAAATCAAAGCTTGTATATAGCTCTGAAAAGAGTGTTACGATACATAAAAGGAACTTTGTACCTAAAACTATGTACTGATAATGACAATGTTTTGTGTGGATACGTTGATTCAGATTGGGGCGGTGATGTCATTGACAGAAAGTCAACAACAGGATATATTTTTAAATGTTTTGGTTGTCCGGTATCATGGGCAAGTAAAAAGCAACAATCTGTATCAATATCTTCCACAGAGGCAGAGTATATTGCTTTGTCTATTGCAGTAACTGAAGCATGTTGGTTGAGAAAAATCTTAGCTGATTTTAATATTGAATTAAACAGACCAATTGAAATATATGAGGACAATCAGTCTGCAATAAACATAGCAAACAACCCTGAAAACAATAAAAGACTTAAACACTTGGATATCAAACATTTTTTTATTAAAGAGAAAATTGACAAAGGTTTGGTTAAAGTATTGTATATTAGAACTGAGGATCAAATGGCTGATATACTAACTAAACCTGTACCTAGGGTTAAGATTTTGAAGTTTAAGGAACATTTATGTCTTGTTGACTAATTAGAAAAGTTTAATTATTCTATGATTTAATTGTTCCTTGTTATAGAAGTTAAGCTTGTTTTGAGAATTGAAATTTTTTATTTATATATTTTTCTACTGACATTTCATAATACGCTATTAAACGATTAAAATCTGTATTATAATGAACTTCATTACGATACAGATTTTCATTATAATACTCATTTTTAATATTATACAATGTTGATAGATGGCAGCACTAGTTAAGATATTGAACATTTTTAACGGTAATTTTGCGTAAAACAATTATGTTGATAACTATAAAAAAGACTTCGAATTGTTTAAAAGTTACCTAAAGTTTGGGACAAAGAATAATTATTATAGAAATAATGAGTGATAAGGAAGAATTTTTACTTTTTTAATTATTATACATTGTCAATAGATGGCGCCACCAGTTAAGAAATTTTGAATTTTTTTTTTTTTGAATGATGACAGCACTCTGTTTATAGCTTTTCCATGGTAATTTAGCGGAAAACAATAATTTCATGAAAAAAATACTTCGAATTGTTATTAAAAGTTACCTACCTAATGTTTGGGATAAGGCATTATTATGGAAATATTGAGTGATAACGAAGAATTTTCACTAACACCCCCAGAAATTACAGAAAAGGCGACAAATGCAGGTAATAATATACTACCGGACAAGTCCAAGAAAATTTGCGAAAAATTATATGGACAATTTATGGATTGGAAACACCAAAAACACATCGTCCTTCTCAGAAAATGTTTTGATACCTAGTATATTTTGAAGAATTACAACAAAAAATGAAACCTTCAACTGTATGGATTACTCAATCATAAAATCTCTATTCAAAGTCAAGCATAATGTTGACTATTGTTGACATATCTAAATATCATAAGTTGTATCAATGGCAGTAGAAAAAATAGTGTATGCAACTCTCATGTAATGGCCATTAATACACTCGCATGTTATATACGAAACTCGCCTGCGGCTCGTTTCGTATCCTACAACATGCTCGTGTATTAATGGCTATCATTACATGATCATTGCATAATATACTATTTTGATTTGCAAAATAATTTTATTGAGGGGGCGTGTTGCAATAAATAGAACAATAACATTATTTTGCTTATCAGCCTATGTCTGTAGATGGCTTGTTATATTGTTGTGAGGCTGTTGTTATGAACCGGCAACACCGCACTGTATTACAGATTTCTTTAAATATTTAAAAGATTGTCAAAATGTCAGTTAGTTATCATGTCGTTTTGTCAAGTAAGGTTGGCGCCAAGATACTCATCCTGTTGTAACCTACAATTTTGTACTCATGTTGTTAATAATTAATAAACGATAATTAATACAAGAAATAACAGCGAGTTGAGTCGAATTATTACAGTAAAAATCCACCCCGTAGTGCTCTGCTAACAATTCGTTCATATACATATGCATGCAAGATGGGCCCCGGGAAAATTTTTGCGGGGGGCCCCGGATTTGAAGTTACGCCACTGCTTTTACAGTCAAAATTAAAGATAAAAATGACAGTCAAGTAGCACCTGGTAAAGCAGAGATTAATAAAAATGAAAAAAGAACGGGAAGCAGTTCATCAAAATATGCCAGTAAAGCAAATTCTACAACCAATCTTGATCCAGAAGCGAAAATGAAAATACTCAAAGTACTAATATTTGTCGCGGAAAAAACGCGTTGGTTTGCGGTATCTAGTTCGCTTCGTCACCGCCACCGCCACCGCTACCGCCACCGCGCCCGCAGCCGCCACCGCTCTGGTTTGCGCCTGGCTTAGGGCGGGTATTATAAAACTACTTTGAGAGTTAACTTAAAGTTAACTTCTGAAAATACATGTAATTCATCAAGTTAACTGTCAAAGCAGTTTTATAATACCCGCCCTTAATCGTACAGGAAATGAAGTAGGAGGTAGAGAGTTCCAGAGGTAGGCCACCAAAAAGAAGCCCTATATCCTCGAGGTTGCCATTTTTAACACATACGGATGGGATGCCTGTGAGGTTCTTTTGGTACCTACTTAAATAACTTCTTCTAGCTGAAATGTTGCTGGCCAGATCGTCAAAAGATCTCCCATGGGAATAGCGATAGAATAACGGCCACTTCTGCGTACAAGTCCGAGAGATTGCAATGAATCAGTGCGAGTTAGATTGTGGATCATTTTCATTGCTCTTCTTTGTACTACATCTAAAGCCAGGCGCAAACCAAAGCGGTGGCGGCAGCGGTGGCGGTGACGAAGCGAACTAATATCCGCAAACCAACGCGTTTTTTCCGCGACAAATATTAGCACTTTCAGTATAATTCATTTTCGCTTCTGGATCAAGATTGGTTGCAGAGTTTGCTCTACTGGCATATTTTAATGAACTGCTCACTGTTCTTTTTTCATTTATATTAATCTTTGTTTTACCAGGTGCTACTTGACTGTCATTTTTATCTTTTATTTTGACTGTAAAATTACGCAATGAGTGCCCAAGACATGGAATAAGAAAAAGCCTTGTTTTTTTTTTTTGCACATTTTCGTTAAGTTTTTCAGTATCACACGACGTTTGCACTTCGCTGTACTGATGCAGATCGCGCGAACTAGGCGGAAAAATGATGCAGGCAGCGTTCTACCGCCGATCACAATGTGACCGCCGCAAAGCCGCGGCAGAACGCTGCAGGAGCGGCGGGCGCGTTTTCCAGTTCGCCGCAGTGTGCACGCGGTGATTTATTTACATGTGCATTATTCGTTCGCCACCGCGCCCGCCACCGCTCTGGTTTGCGCCTGGCTTTAGAGCCAACGAAGGCTTGGGAACCTTGCTCCAGCTGTGGGAATAGTGTACCTATTCCATACATGGTCTGATTTGAGCCTCATAAAGGAGAAGTTGTTCAGAAGTAAAGATTTTTTTTGCACGAAACAGAAAACCTAGTTATTTTTGAGAAGTGGTTTTGGCGATCGAAGATACATGGTCATGCCAAAACAAGTTTGATTCATTTTTGTGCAAAAATAGCGCTGCTGGCACTTTTTTTCCTTAATTTGTCAAGAATAAACTAGAGGCTCAGCAGAAAGTCCTTCAAAAACTATTGTCAAATATAAGGTTTATTACCGTTTATTAATTTTGGCGCAAGAATAGCGCTGGTAGCGCTTTTTCTCCTGAATTTGTAAAAAATAAACTCCCCAGGCCCCTAGAAGCTCAATGGAAAATACTTTTTTTATGGCAGAAAAAGCCCTTCAAAAACTATTATTATAAATATAAAATTTGATTAATTTTGGTGCAGCGCTGGTAGCACTTTTTTCCCTGAGTTTGTTAAGAATAAACAGCCCCTAGGGGCTCAATGGAAAATTCCTTTCATGAACAATTACAGCATCAACATAACGAAGGTTGCAAGGCCATAATAAAGAGTTTTGAAGGCTTGATATAATTTGTCTAGGATTATGTCTCTTAAATGATTTTTCATCTAACAAACATTTCTATTTTTTAAATCCAAACTTACTTTATTGCTCACACTATTTACAAGATTGTATAAATAAAACATCAAAAACCGGTTAAACAAAAAAGATTAAAAAAATACTGCCTTAAATTATTAATGGTAACGAAAAATAATATCACAAATGTATGGGAATGACTATTCTGATGACTTAGCAGGTGATTGGTGTTCAGGAGGTTTGACACTACTCTCCCTTTTATTTGGTAATCTGACTTTGATCACTTTTTTTACTTTTTCTGAACTATGGATTAAATCTTGCTTATTTCTCCAGTTAGCTCGTTTTAGTTGTACCTTACGGCGTTTTTTATCGACGTAGCCGATAATGCAACTGGCTGGAATCCACAGAACTGCGGTTATTAACACTACAGTACCCACAATGTTATCTCTGAGGAACAGAAGGACTTTGTTTATGTTTATGTCCTCAATTATGTCCCAAAAACGTTCAACCACATCTTGGACTGTCTTCTCGCAATTTCCCTAAAAATCTTTGTAAAGCACCCTTTCAAAAATAGGAAAAAAAATAAATCTCACATTATTGCAAAATCCTTGTATACAAGGAGTACCATCCGCTAGAATATCAGCTGAGTCCACTGGAGAACATGTTTCATTGATACTGGATCTACAGCATCTTTTACAAGCATTTTCAACTAAATAATTTGGATAAATATTAATTCAAAAACACACCAGCAATAATATTAGACTTACTAATATCACACATACAACTTTGCATTCCTTGAGTCTCACAGAACGGTATACATTTCCCTCCTTTACACTTTCCTCTCTCTTGACAATCTGTATTATCAACCATAGGTGGACTTTTTGGACATTCAGGTGAGTGGCCAGTGCAACTAGAAGCTTCTTCACAAGTTGCATACTGTGCTTCACGGCATTTGATTCCGCTGCGCATATATTGGCAATTTTGACAACACGGGGAGTTTTTGTCACTGCACATTGCTTTGGTCCTGAGTTTGCAATCTTTGTCACAACAAGGATCATTGTCTTCTGTTCCTAAAAGACCTGCATCACATTCTTCATCTCCTTCAACCCTAAGATTGCCACAGAAACTTTCTTCAGGTTCAGAAAAGCATTTCTCTGATTTAGCCTGGAGAACTTTTCTTATTGATCTCAAACTACACGGAGAGAATCGCTAAAAATATGTATCCTAATAAATAATAAATAATTTGGAAAGATGCGATTATAATTTTAAAATACTTACCTTGTTATTAACATCATAACCGCTAACACTGTAAGTGTACATCAAATAAGACCCGCCCTGACTGGCACTTGGAGAACATTCAGGGATATCTGGGTCGTGTTCAGAACCCCAATTATGACCAAATTCGTGAGCTGTCACCAAGTCAGCTTCACGGGTTATCACTCTTTGCCCATAGTGATTTCTACTAGAACTCAATCCAGAATTCAAGTAAAGCGTGTATCCGTTTTTAAAGTATTCTAAAATGGATTTAATAAAACTTTTGATAAAAATTATAAGCCAGGTACAAAATATTCTACAACACCAAAGCAAAAAATGTCAATGTGGATTATCACCAAATGGTCAGTTAGTAATTAAGCAAATTATAAAGCTCTACCTAAAAATTAACAAACAAGGACAAGCAACACACAAAATGTACCTGGGGTGCAGATACCACCAACGGAATTCCTTCTGGGAGAGCCCACATAAGCAAGACCCAATATACCACCTTCAAATTTAAGATCAGTGAATAGATGGGCGAGGCAAAAATCCTTATGAGTGAATTCTCTACTGAACACCTTGAAGCAGCGTGAAGAAAGGTAATTGTGTTAGTTTTTCATGTTGCAGGATGAAATAAATAATGGGCATGTTTCCGATTTTTTTTTTTTAAATTTTTTGTTTTTCGCCTATTGAATAAGTATTTTGCTTACTTATTCTTGATGTGCATTATTTCTTTTTTATCTGCGTTTCCTTTTTTTTTATTTTAATTTCCTGAAAAAAGCACCGCATTCAAACAAAACCCTTTATGAGGTCACAAAGGGTTCTGCTTATGCATTTAACTGTTTTAGGATGTTGACAGTTTGTGCTTTTGAAATTAGCACAATGTATAATTATCATTTAAAAAATTTTGAGTAAGCATGCAGTTGATTATATATGTGAAACAATTATATAAATAGATGCAATAATCATGTAATTATTGGTTTTTGAAAATATATGTTGAATAAAGTTAAGTAACACAGCAACATTGACTGGCGGTGCTCACACTGTTATCGGCTGAAAGTTGTTTTTGTTTGACACATAATCCAAAAAAAATATTATTTTTGTCATTTGTCATGCCCCTTTCAACAGCCAAAAAAAAGTAGCGAAGAAAAGGTGAAGAACGCAAAATATTATTTATATTAATTGTTTATCGCAATCTATCGACACGCATATATTAAAACGTGTTTTAAGAATGTAGGAAACATCCCCATTAGGTATTATTAGATCCCTGAATAAAATTAATCATAACTTTTCACTCTATTATCCCAAAAGTCATCACTCGCCATCAATATTATTACCAACAGGGCTAATTGATAGGAATTCACCAACCCCTTTTACTAGAGGTCAGTCAAGTGAGTATACCTATTCTTACCCATCACCTCCCAATAACATTGTACAATATTTAAGGTTTGTTAGAGTTACTACATAAACCAATCCATAAAATAATTACATATCTAAATAAGCCTACTCCTCAGCAATGCCTCCACATGTTATAAAACTTTTTCAAGCACAAACTATAAAATTGAAAGAAGAAAGTTTGAGGTCTGTACAAAGTTCAGAGGTTTACAAATAAATCACTAGCAACCTCAAACATCACAACAGTAGTCTATAAATAATTAGAAATGCCATAGATGTGATAGAGCAACAAAATAAAGAAAAATATCACTACTACTAAAAATATAAGACATACATTCAAAAAACCATAGCCATCTTTGATTTAACTTCTTCAGTTTTTTTATTGAAGACCCCTTAACTATAATTAGTACCTACATTCACCAATAAAAGTTATTACCTAATTCCCAAAATATTTAAATTAAAAAAAATAATAACCATTGCTACATATGCCTCCCTGTGATCTTGGCCTTGGAGACGCAATATAAGCTAATCCTAAGACAACTGAATTTCTAGTTTTAAATGTTTGGTGTGTGAAAAGATGCGCTAAACAATACGTCTCATTTTGCGGTGCTCTAGAAAATTCCTTTAAAAGATAAATCGAAACTATGAAAAGATACAAGTTGAAAAAAAAATTATATATATGTATATAAATCTCAAAATTTGAAAAATAATGAATTACTCATTACCTCCAACAAATTTCTGACATCCCATTTTTCACGAAACATATTATAATGAGCCTCTGGAGATTTGATTCTAGTTGGTTCACTATGGACAACTATTTTTTTGATCACAAAGCCCATACCTTTAAAGCCATCCACTTCTTGCCGGTCTTGCCAAATTGTGTCATTGTAAATTTTATGTACGCGATCAATAAGGCTTATCTGTAAAAGTTACTGAATCAACAGAAAACGATTATAGAACAAATTAAATACTTACCAAATAATTTATGGTAGTTTTAGTATTACTTCCTCCCATTTCTTGAAAAAATCTATAATCCGCTACTAAAAGCAATGGGCAACGTGTTTTTGTAAACTTATATTGATCATACTGATCGATTTGTCTTTTATTTAAGTGATGACGAGCACTGGTATGATTTTCTTCTAATTCAGCTCCTTCTTTGACATAAGCGCACATTCTAGGAGTGGGATAATCATCTGGTAAATTCTCAGGATCCCAACTAAATTTAATGTCTGATTGTTTATATGTGATCATTGTTCTATTGTCATGCTCTGGAATATGACGCCATGAAGGCTGAAAAAGAAACAATTCACCTAATGATATATTTTTATACAAGACTTGTACCTCAATGTGATATATGTCATCAGGCATGTGGATGTTTCCTGTCATCACCCCATCCTCAATATGCATATTCACATGGGATTGTGCTTCACCAAATACTCTTCCTTCGAAAAAGCTGTCATGGTCTATAAGAAAATTTGATGTTTTAGACTTTATTCAAGCCTTCATTCCCTACACTGGTGTATCGATATACGCGGATGTCTTGAAAAATGTTAAACTTATTTTAACTTTGGAGGACTCAAGACAGCTATGAGCAGCTTTGCCCTCTGGTGCAGAATTAATGACAGACTTAAATGTTAAGAAATGCATCCTTTTTCAAATGTCATGTAGACATAATAGGTCTGTTTCTGCAGAAATCACAAACCAGTCAGAGTGAATTTCATTGGTTGAAACTAGTTTTCTGACTGTTTCTGACTGTTTTCAACCAATGAAATTTGCTCTGACTGGTTTGTGATTTCTGCAGAAACAGACCTAATATGTATTGCTTTGACAGGAACTAGAGAGAGTAACATCTTTGATTTAGGAGTAATTTTCAATCAGGATCTTACTTTCAGTCTTCATATTGAAAATATTTGCAGTAGAGCCTTAAAACTTCTTGGCTTACTCTAAGTAGTAAGATCCATTCTTGAATATGCTTAGGTTTATGTATATAAATAAGCTGGGAAAGGGGTCAAAAACGGTTTCTTAGACATATAAGCTAGGTTAAGAATTGCTGTTGAACATATTAATTTTGATGAATTATCTTTATTATTACACCTGCCTACATTAAAAATCTGCAGAAGAAATCTTGTCATATGCTTTTTATTTAAAATTGTGAATAATTTAATAGATTCTTCCTCTTCTGTTAGATAATTCAATATTCATCTACCAAGATATTCCTACAAGGGAATGAACTGTTCGATATATTATATCACATCCCACAGGACACATTAGGCATTGCTATTTTAGTCCATCAAGAAAATTCGCAGGGATGCCAATCAAGTGCCAAGAGAGGTAAAAATCTTTAATTTATCTTTGAAGGGGTTGAAAACTGAGTACAACAAGGTATTTAGTTATTTGAGATATTAGATTTTATTGTTTACTTAAATATTAATGTATTTTCAAATTATTTATTACTTTTTATATTCAGAATTTATAATGTTGTGTATGATTATGATCGAGTTTATGATACTGGGTGGCCCCTTGATAAAGCATTTAAATTTGAATTTATGAAGAAAGTATTGCTCCTGGTAAGTATAAGCAACAATTTTTGAGACAATTTTATTTGGAAATTATGGTCATTAGAAATTAATTGTATTGTAATTCAATTTACTCTGAAGATTTTTGTTCAAATTTTCTTCCAAAGCATTGGGTAATATTGAAAAAATCTGGTCTTATTATCAAGGCTTCTGGACACCTAATGCAAATATTATTTTTCAGAAATTTCCTAAGGATACTGAATTTAATGAATGTGTTAAATACCACTAACACACAGTAAGTTCAATGTCCTTCTAGGTCTTCAAAGAGTACTTAATTCCTATGTCATTAATATATGTGAAAAGGTTTAGTTTTGACGTCTCTTTTTAGGAAATAGCTATAAGTATGTACTGAATTATGACATTTATTTAATATTCTCTATTTTTACATTATTGGAGTTGGAGAGCATAACTAACACACACAGGGACCTATCCCAAATGAAACCTTAGGTTAAATAGACTCTTCCAAGGTTAGATGGAAAAGTTTGAATCTTGAAATGAAAAGGGCTAAGGCACTAAATATCTAGGTATTTTTACCAATAGGTATATGTGTTTCTTCTCCATCTCCATTCACAGAATAGGCCTTGAATTTTGAATGCAGAATACTGCGTTTTGGAGAAAGGATTAGTCGAAATTTTTTCCCATGAGTATTTAGGTGGACTTCTTTGATTTTGTTGAAAGGGTGACTGCTTTCTTGTAAACCCCTTTTGACTACATTATGCATCAGATCATCAGCATGAATTATCTGGAAGTACTTCAGATTTTTGTGTATCGTTGCTAGAATTGGAAAATGGAATATGCATATTATTTTTTGTAAAATCAATCTTACCACATATAAGAATTAATTGGGCGAGAAATGCTAAATAAAGGAAAATTTTGGTATCCATTATTGTAGAACTAACTTGAAGTTTGAACACATTTTTGTAATAGTTAATTATTATTAATAATAGTGCTAATGAATGATTCACAATATTTCTATTCAAGTCTTACACAACAAACAACAAAAATTTGACACAACAAGAAGAGCAAGGACTATAGACAAGAGAAGGAAGGCCAAGATTTGAATTGGGTGGGGTACACTTGAAAGCTCGCATTACGTCACCACAGATGCTCATCGGATGTCTTGCAAACCGTATTGAACTGAATCCATTGAGGTAGAATAATAAGGAGGCGACATGAGGCGAAAAAATTGTATCCACTTCCGCCATATTGTTACGACACTACTGTCTGAAATTCGGTCACCTTTGTCATAGCAAGGCGTCAGAATTGCATCAGGGCCGCATTTTCCATTCAAAGATTTTTTAAATGAGAAAACTGTTTGAAGCCCAGAATTTCTATTAGGGTCTTGGAAGGATCTCCTGTTTCAGTATGTTGAAGTTTCTGTAACAACTTTTTTTTTCTTGGATGTAATCTCGATTTTTTTACGTTTTTAGATAAACATTTTAAAGAATCCATTTAGTTCGGCTCTGTTTAAGTAGCCATATTGTTCCGACACTTAGCCACGCCTACCGATGCCGTTTTCTATTTCACTATTCAAATGATGACAGCGTCTCCTCATTATTCTACCTCAATGACTGAATCCCTTTTGCGGAAACGTCAGTAACTGACAGTAGTGACACTGACAACTATCTGACAACATAAGAATAATTGGTATCTTCTTGACAGTGTGACGAATCTAAACGGAATATTTTCAATATTATGGAAAATTCACAGGAAAGACATTCAGTGTACCTACATGAAAAGGATTTTAACAGTCTGTGTATGGTAACTTTTCGTGGACATTAGGTACATTGATAGATTTGAATGTCAGCATACCCGCTTGTTAATCCGGCTTTAGGGAAAGATGAGGAGGTCATGCCCATTAATTATTGAAAATAGAGAAAGATGTTCATTTGAAACTGTCAATAAACCATATACTTCTTTATTATTTTTATATACCTAATAGGGCATTCCAACATAAAAAAAAATCAGCCAGGGCACACAATTCGATTGTGTCACACAAGTGTCACAATATCGAACGCGTCGCATTAATAGGTAGGTATACATTTTAACAACCATATGCATATTGTAATACTTAGTTGCTCTAAAGTATTAGTACTTGATAATAAGTACTAATATACATGTATCTCGAACAACTCACAGCATATTTTAATTTACTGCCAGTTAAATCTTCACGTTTAATTGCATTTAACCAGCGTTATCTTCTGATTTTTGATAATTCGTTTTGTGTAACTTTATCAAGATGTTTTCTATTCACTTCCGATGGTATTGTAGCGCGGCGTCCGCCAGGCTGTCAAGAATCGATGGCGAAAATACTAGAATCTAGCGAATTATTCTACTTTAATCTGGAAAATTAGAGTATCGTGTGTATTCTAGATTTTACAAGAATAGATTTAGGGATATATAAGAAGGCCGGCATAAGTTTCAGTTCGACTGTGATACGACTTAAATAGTGATTGTAAAGAGTTTAATTGTTGAGTTTGTTAATAAAGTAATTAGTGTCAGAGTGTTTTGTTAAGTGGAATAAATTATTGCTGTGTTAATTGGACTTTGATTTTTGGAATAAACGAAACGAACAACGAACCCAAGATTTCTGTCAGGCAACCAAAAGCCGCGACAGTATTTTAAAAAATTTAAAGTTTTCGCGTTCTCCCCTACGACCCCTATTACTATTTCTTTACACAAAAAATGCAGGCATTTTACCAATATTTTTGCGCACTTTAACATTTGCCTGGTTAACTTTTGACAGGTCGTTGGATTGCCCTATAGAAAAAGTTATTTGTTTCATGCATAAATTTCACAATTTGAAGCCTAAAAAATCAAAATCAACTTCAACAAACCCTGAGGGTGGGTTAAATAAGTTAAAATCATATCAACCAATACTGGAATCCTTTAAAAATGTATCGTATAAGTAAGTACCTCTGCTCTCTTTGACAGAACCTTCACCATTCTATCAAAAACTGACGTTGTTGAATTTTTTGGTATGTGCGTAGACTTAACTACTGCGGGGTACAGTGGCTAAATAAACCTTTATATACATTGGCGACAATAGAGGTCCCACCGCCATTTTGTTCCAAACCTCTTGTTACTTTTAAATATTAATATATATAGGATTTACATTGATTTGAAATAAGCGATAGGTGGGCACAAGATGGCGGCGTTTGCAATTTGCAATGTAAATACATATATGAAATTTTAGAACCAATAAAAAATGAGACAGCAATTCTCGCCACTGTGGGTAATAGAGTCACTATACTGCGGGGTGGTTAGAGCCGCTTTGCAGCTGACGCTTTTAACTAGGCAATCGAGCTTTTGCGCGCGCAAATGCTTCAAGCGCGTGTTCGTGTTCCAGCCGTACTGCGCTTCGAAAGGTGCTAACTTTTGCGTTTCAAACACAGAACACTGTGCTGCACCGTGCTTAAAGCGCACAGCTGGAAAGCGGCTTAGGTGAGTTAGGTCTGTGGAGGTAACATCAGTAACCAATTTTTTTTTTTAAATTTGTATTGCATTGCATTGCATTCAAGCTTAAGGAATGTGCAACAAATAAGCTAGTGATGGATAATTATTGCATGTCATGGATGTTTTTGAAGGGAAAACTCCTTTAGGCGCGTTTGGCACAAACGCTTTCGCGAGAAACTCATGACGTCATATCGAACGTAGTTCGCCGGAAGCATGGACGCAGCTTCTAACCAGCGTGTGCCAGCGTTCAAACTCATGACGTCACAAGACGAACTATGGTTCGTCCCAAGAATCGTTAACTCTAGATTGTCGAATCGGCTAAATCTGTCCACCAGTGCTGTGACGTCAGCTGCAGTCCTTTACCGGCGCGTTTACTATGTAAACGCATGGAAAAGATGGGAAACTTGCAGTGTTTGTCTGAATTATGATTATGAAAATCTAAAGTAGGTATCCCTACTATTTGGCTTTTGTGAGATAAGCACTTACATTGAATAAATGAATGTCCATATTAAATCAATTTAGTACCTATTAAACTATTGAATAATAATTCAGAAGTAGGTAGAGACAGTAAAAAATAAAAACACACTATTGCAACCAAGTTTCGCTTATATTTTGATATTTAGACATGCAAAAATCAAATCATTATTACACAAAAGCATACATAAAACCTTGTGTTTTTTGACAAACAGAGAACCATATTTATTATGGAGTACTAGCTGAACTAGCGGTTGTACTTAAAAAAAGGTAAAAAAAAAGTCTGCACATTTTGATATAATATTTATGTGGGTATTTTGGAATTACTCTTCTGATAAGCAGCAAGCAAACAAACTCAAATCTTTGTGCAAGCTCAAAAACACGGTTGATGACATTAATTATTAATAAAAAGCAGCCAACCACTCAAGCACACAAACTTTCAAAGTCTCTGTCAAAGCTAAAAAACACTGTTCTCAAAGTTTTTCACAGAAATAACAATTTTTCACGTTTGAAAATGCACTGTCATAAATTAAAAAACAATCCGAACTCAATAGCAGCAACGGTCAAACATGTGATGTGTGGTGATGTGTGTTTGTATGTTGTTTATACACTACGAAAATACGAAAACTATCCTTCTCAAGCAATAGAAAATCTCCTTAAAATTCCACAAATTATACAGAGAACAGTTATATGATAACAAAACGTCACGGTTGTCTGAAGGTAATGAAATCCTTGGCGCCAATTTCATGGTTTGATCATGGCCGCCATGAGAAATTGGATTGCTCGCGATTTGTCTTGACGTTCTGTCAATTTATTAATAAACAATATGGCGCCGTGATGGGCATAACAAACATGACAACCGAGGGCAACATGTATTTAGCCAACCCAATGGTATTTTTTTAATATTCGCCAAATGCAATCTTTTGGTGTTCCGGTGGTCTTTGGTATCTCACTTTTACTATTTGGTGGTAATTAGTTTGGGATTAATCAATAATTCAAAATTTAATAATACGTTGGCCGACAGAAATCCTACTTATAATTAACTTTTTGGGTCCATTTATAAAATTCATTAACAAAATTCGTTTGGGCGACACGAATTCACCAAATTTTACGTTTGGTAGTCAATTATACCGGAGATAACTAATTTGGATTTACATTGTACGATAATTCGTCGCGCATGCGCAGATATATATATTTTTTTCAAATGATGAATATGCACAATAAACGCATCAAATAATTATTGTAAACAAACTGTTTATTATTTAAAAATTGGCCAGGTCTTTGATTTGGAATTATTTAAATATTGAAAAATTAAAATTTAATTTTTACTGTTGTGGCGACCGCGACAATCCGAATCTAGTACAAGCAGAGACCGCGAGATGACGCGTCCTATTATATATCTGCGCATGCGCGACGAATTATCGTATAATGTAAATCCAAATTAGTTGATAATCTCCCGGTATAATTGACTACCAACATAAAATTTGGTGAATTCGTGTCCACCAAACGAATTTCGTTAAATTCGAGAGGCAAAAAAAAACAGTTGTAGGTTATGTCGGCCAACGTCACATGAAATTTTGAATTGTTGACTACTGCGAAAGTAATTACCACCAAATAGTTAAAGTGATATACCAAAGACCACCAAAGGAACACCATCAAACGATTGCATTTGGCGAATATTGAAAAAAAATCATTTGGACGGCTAAACCGATCGATAAAATGGTATTTCCTTTACATTCAATTCCAATTGACTGTGATTGCAGTTTGGATTGGAATTCAATGTAAATAAGGTATACCTTCCCACATAACAGTGAAAGAACATTCATATTCTCAGAATATTCCCTCAAAGTGCTTTTTGGAATGTTCTTTTGGGAATGTTCAATGAATATTCTAAGATTGTTTCGATTGAAATATTCATTTTTGAACGTTCTATTTATGTACTAGGAATGTTGCTTCCATGCACCTACCTGAAAGATTGTGCTGCGAACCTACTTTACATAACATTATTTGAATATTCTCATACGAACATTATTATAATGTACCCTAA